AAGATCCATTTCTTGTATTATAATTTATTTTCAATTTCATAAAAACATTTTTTCTTTAGATCTTGACTCTATTTTTCGGGCAAAATTTCCCTTTTATATGTCTTTAGGTGTGCTATATATAGTGGCATCATAAAATGTTTTTTTGGATTGTTTAATGTTACATGTAGATGCCATGTCATTTCTTTCGCGAGAAAAAAAAAATCATTCAGTTTTATTTGAAGTGTGTGTATATATAACACCATGGTTTATTTTAAAAAAAAAAATATTAAAGTAGTTTTTTAAAAAAAGAAAATAGGCTATATAAAGTAACGAGGATGGAAATAACAATCATATTATAATAAAATCCAGAGCCAGACATTGTAATTTATCCATTGAAAATATTCAAAGATGAGATTTCCTTAGAATCATGTGTTGGTATAAGGCAATAAGAGGGACTTTATGAACCTAAAAAATACAGAATTATTTTCATTCACAAATTCATGAATTTATTTACTTGTGTACCTTAAATAAATAAAAATCCTTGAGGGTTTTCTATGTTTTTATTTTTTAACATCGATGGAGACACGACATCGTGTTCAGTAAGCTGACGCTGTCTGAATGAATATTTTATCGTCCACTTTTTCAGAAGTTGCAATGAGGACAAACTCGATGGTGATTAAGCCATAAGCGTGTCCTGTTGCGTTAAACTAATTAAAGCAAATTAACCATTAAAATTACGTTGTCTTTTGAATTATTAATTATCACCATAAAGTAGATTACACAGGCTCCCTCTATTATTATTATTATTATTTTAATTCTATAATAAAATATATTTTTAACCAAGAGCGATTTTAAGGATGGATGTATTTAAAAATTTAATAAATCTCTTAAACATTAATCTTAAAATTTAAAAATGAAAAATTAAGAAATTAATTTCTCTTTTTAATCACCCTTGAACTTTTGTGATTTCTTATGCAGGATAGATCATCGTTCTAGGCTTGTACTGCAACCAATTTTTTTTTTTTTTTATATATAAATATATACTTTTAAGGATAATCAAGTATTTTCATTATAAAATAAAACTACTTTAATCTCTAAATAAATATACTAATTGAGAAAGAATAAATTTGTCGGTGTAAAAAAATACATTATTATACTTTTACTCCTAATTATACTCATATTGTTCAATATTATTGTTTTTAATAAATTTGTAAAATGACAAAAGATAATTGAAGGATCGTGAATGGAAATGTGCAATTATTTTTTATCATAAAATTAAACTTTGTCAAAAATAGAGAGTGAAACATTTATTTAAGTACAAGTATTTATTAGGCATTTTGATTTTAAAAAATCCAAGACTTTAATTAGTTAATTACTCTTTAAAACCAGCATCAATGTTGATTTTTATTAAAAAATAATTTTATTCTTTAAAAGTGATTGTTTTTTATTTAATTTCTTTGGTTAATAATTGTTATAGATAGAAAATTAAATATAATTTATGGTTTTTTTAGATTTATTAACATAACATGATATAATAGTTAATAGTTCAAGTTATAACTTACAATGCCATTAATTACAGACTTTGCTCTCTCGTAAAAGAAAATGCTATTATTATAACATGTATTTTAAAGTATTTTTTATTTAATTTTTTTTAAATTGATGTTTTTATATAATTTTGAAGTGTTGATATAAAAATAATAAAAAAAAAATTTAATTTTTTTTAATATATTTTTAAAAAATTATACATTATTTATCAAAAAAATAACATGAAAAATACAAAATAAAATTAAAAAGAAAAAGAAGAAGAAGAAGTCATTTACCAATAAAAAATACAAAATAAAGTTAAAAAGAAAAAGAAAGAAAAAGAAATAAAACATAGTTGACTAGCCCCAACACCTATCCAGCAACAGCCACCACTTCACTCCCTTCAATACTCTCACATGCCAGTTACATAAAACAGCTAGGGTTACCCTTTTTAACTTTTTGTCTCTTTTCTCTCACTCTATTTTCTAACACTAACACCAGCCCCATCTCTCTCTCCCTCCCCTAACAATGTCTGTCTATCATCTACCACCCAAAACCCTGAAAAAAACCTTAAACAAAACCTACATTATCACCACCACAATCCCACACATTTCCCATTCCCTTCCTTAAAAATCTAAACTTTCTCACTCCCCCATCTCACATTCCCTTCAAAAATCCAATCCTTTCCTTCCAAAATTCCAAACTTTCTGAAAATGGAGACCAAATGTCTCCTCCCTTTTCACCTCTTTCTGTTACTACTCTCTCTACCTCTTTCAAAACCAGATCTCTCGGCCGACCATTCAGCCCTCCTCGCTCTCCGTTCCGCTGTACACGGCCGAACCCTGCTCTGGAACACCTCACTGCCGACCCCTTGTTCGTGGACTGGTGTCTTATGTGAGCAAAGCCGTGTCACAGTGCTACGGCTTCCTGGTTTTGCACTCACAGGAGAAATCCCACTTGGAATCTTCTCAAACTTGACAGAATTGCGCACTTTGAGTCTTAGACTTAATGCACTCTCTGGAAAGCTTCCTCAAGATCTTGCTAACTGTAAAAGTTTGAGAAATCTTTATTTACAAGGGAATCTTTTTTCTGGAGAGATACCTGATTTCTTGTTTGGTTTGAAAGATCTTGTGAGGTTGAACCTTGGTGAGAATAATTTTACTGGCGAGATTTCAACCGGGTTTGGTAATTTTATCAGGCTAAGGACTTTGTTTGTAGAGGAAAATTCGTTGTCTGGGTCATTGCCAGATTTGAAACTGGAAAAGTTAGAGCAGTTTAATGTGAGTAATAATTTGTTAAATGGGTCTATACCTGATAGATTTAAGGGTTTTGGGATTAGTTCTTTTGGGGGTACTTATTTATGTGGGAAGCCTCTTCCTGATTGTGATGGTGTTCCTAGGAGTATTGTGGTGCCTAGTAGGCCAAATGGGGGTGGAGAAGGTAAGAGGAAGAAGTTGTCTGGCGGTGCAATTGCAGGGATTGTGATTGGATCTATAGTGGGGTTATTGTTGATGTTAATGATTTTGATGTTTTTGTGTAGAAAGAAGAGTAGTAGTAAGTCAAGATCGATTGACATTGCGTCGTTTAAGCAACAAGAGATGGAGATTCAAGGGGGGAAGCCAATTGTGGAGATGGAAAATGGTGGTGGGTATGGAGATGGGTATTCTGTGGCTGCCGCTGCGGCGGCTGCAATGGTGGGTAATAGTAAAGGTGGGGATTTGAATAGTGGTGATGGTAAAAAGTTGGTGTTTTTCGGCAAGTCTTCAAGGGTGTTTGATTTGGAGGATTTGTTAAGAGCTTCGGCAGAGGTTTTGGGAAAAGGTACGTTTGGGACAGCCTATAAGGCGGTTTTGGAGATGGGGACTGTGGTGGCTGTAAAGAGGTTGAAGGATGTGACAATTTCTGAGAGAGAATTTAGGGAGAAGATTGGGACTGTGGGTGCTATGGATCATGAGAATTTGGTCCTATTGAGAGCTTACTATTATAGTAGAGATGAGAAGCTTCTTGTTTATGATTACATGTCAATGGGAAGCTTGTCTGCACTTTTGCATGGTGAGCATTTCTCAATTTTTGAATTTGACATGTTCTCTTTGGTTTGTTCATGTAATTTTCTCCCTTTTTGGATTTGCATTTTGGTGAATGATTGCTGAGATTTCTCCGGTGTGTCACCTTTGTAGATAATTACTATAATTTTTTATTTTGTAGAATTATATTTATCCCTTTGTGTCTATCCGGTTGTGATGGTGATCTTTTACATCTGAATCCATCTGCCAAGATAATGATGAACTGGGTCAAATCAGCAAATACTATGCTTTCTTTCTGATTGTCCAAATGGTTTGTTTTTTCATGCCTGCATTGTTTTGCATCGGCAAGGAGTTTCTGGGTTATTCTTTCGTTAGATTTCCTTTCTAAAGTTTTTTCCCGCGGCTGTGCTTAAATTTGCTTGTTTCCTGCACAACCAAGCAGGTAGTTTTAAATAAGTAGAAGTCAACAAATTTTGTCATTTCTTGTTTGAAATTTTCAACTCAATAAATGACGATCTCATTTATTATCTTCAGAAGGAGTTATCTAGTCATACGTTCCCTTTGATCTAGTTTGGCATGACAATTGAGTTGCCATATATTCAAACAATAATATTTTGGTGCGTAGCCACTGATCTTCAATTTTTCCACAGGGAACAAGGGAGCTGGTAGGACTCCATTGAACTGGGAAATCAGGTCTGGCATTGCCCTTGGAGCTGCTCGTGGCATTGAATACCTTCACTCTCAAGGCCCCGATGTTTCTCATGGAAACATCAAGTCATCCAATATCCTTCTCACTCAATCATATGATGCCCGAGTTTCTGATTTTGGCCTTGCCTGCCTTGTTGGTCCTCCCTCCACTCCTAACCGAGTTGCTGGATACCGAGCACCAGAGGTAACTGACCCTGGCAAGGTTTCCCAGAAGGCTGATGTCTATAGCTTTGGTGTATTGCTGTTGGAGCTGCTGACTGGGAAGGCCCCCACCCATGCCCTATTGAACGAGGAGGGTGTAGACCTCCCCAGATGGGTTCAGTCTATAGTTCGAGAGGAATGGACTTCAGAGGTGTTCGATCTTGAGCTCCTCAGATACCAAAATGTTGAGGAAGAGATGGTTGAGCTCTTGCAGCTTGGAATAGATTGTGCCGCCCAGTACCCCGACAATCGTCCTTCGATGTCCGAAGTAACAAGGAGGATCGATGAGCTATGTCGGTCTAGTCTGCGGGAAGACTCACAGCCTGAACCACACAATGATGCATCAGACGATATGTCCTCTTGATTAGCTGGCCACATCACTCCATGTATTGCAGAGGGATTTTCGTTGCTTTGTTTGTGCCCATAATTTTAATGTTTATTCTGGTGTTTGATGATGTGTTTGATCCGTTCTCATCTTTCATTAGGAGCCAACTGATATGTTTTTTTTTTTTTTGGTTTTTCTTTTGCCTCCTCATCCCCACTACTAATTTCCCCCTTTTTTTCCATGAAAACTTGGGGGTGGATGTCTGTTCTATCTCTCCTTGTTGGGTGGATGGTGGAGGTTGTAATTATTATCCTTGCTTTCGCTTTTACTTTTTCTTTTGCTTTGGATGCAGCCTTTTATGTGTTTGGATCGAGATGATGTCTTGGTGACTCTGAAAGGTTTTATAATGTTTCTTCAGGCGACTCTCAAACCGCCTGTCAATCGATAAAGCTCTCACTTTTTATGCTCACCAACTCATTAGTGCTTTAGAGATTGTAGCCTCTTCGCCAAAGCCCTACTAAGCTACAGACCTAGGGAGTTGTTAAAACATATCACAAATTTATAGGTTCAACGTGTGTTAGGGTGTAAAATTTTGATTATTTTAAAATTAATGTTTTTTTATATATTTTTTAAACTTATAATAAATAATATACTTTTAATTTTTAATTTTTAAAAAATTATCTTTTAATATTAAATTGATTTCAATCAATTAAAAATTTATTTTTTAATTTATTTTTAATAAGGTTATTCTAATTTTTTAATAAAAGATTATAAATTTGATAAATTAATTTAGTTCACTTGTGTAATTTTTTTTAATTTTATTCTTTAATTTTTTTAGTTCACTTGTGTAATTTTTTTTTAATTTTATTCTTTAATTTTTTATTGATAGAGAATTAAATTTCATAATTTGTTTTTATTTAATTTTTGTTAGAAATATTATGATTTCAAGATTTTTTAAGTTAAGTTGATTTAATATATTATTATTTTAATATTTAAAAACAATTATTTTAATTAAATTATATTTTTACTGATTATTTTTATCAGTGATAACAACTCATCTCTGTACAATTATTTTTAATGAAAATTATATCATCAATGATCTAGTTACATCTAAATGGACGGTCACCTGTAAAAAGTAGAGTGGTCTTAATAACGAGACTTTATATGCATCCAAAGCCCCAAGAATTTGGAATTTCTTTGAAAATGAGTAGTGAGAAGAAAACATATAAAATAATAATTGTTATTAAAAAAAAAGGGGTGGGAGTAGGTAGACCTTCCATTTTCTAAAAGGGCATCTGTTTGTCTCGTTGCCTTGTGCTGTCCTCCTCCTCTTCGTCTTCATCAGATGAACACACAAATATTTTTATCACATAATACAAAATTTGAACGCTCTACCAAGCAGGATGAGCCCACCATTCACTGCTAGTTTAGATCTTGGAAACCTAATCTTCCAGGCTCCTTAACGTTACTTGTCTTTGTCACTTAGTGTTTAGCCTAATTAAAATAACTCCACTAATTGAAGGAATTGACTTATGATGATAATTTTATTTTTTTTATTAACGGGAACCGAATATCCTGTAAGCCCAGTAGATAGATAAGGTATCACAAGAATGGCAGGTAAATATACACAGAGGATCGAACTCGGGTCGGCTGCGAGGCAAGCTTGGCAGTGGACCACGGAGCTAGAGCCTCAAGTGCCAAATTCTTATTTTTTTGAATGCACAAGAGGGATGTGAGGCTTACGCATTTAAATTTGATATGAAAAAAACTATATGGTAAAAAGAACTTCAAAAATAACATCATCATCATGGAAAAGGTCTGTCCTCCCTAGCCCCAATTTTATTGGACCTTCCGTTTTTAAAAATAGCAAAGCCACCTAGCAAGTAAATAGAATTTAAACGCAACATGTGAGTCTTTGTATCATTTGTTGTTTCTATTTGTTGTTTTCAAATTTTTGAAAACAAAAACATTAAAAAAGAAGAAGTTATTGATAATATTTGTATTATTGTATCCGACCCATCCATCAAAGTTAGATAACATAATTATTATATATGATAGCTGATAAAAAAAACTAAAAAATAAATATAAAAGGTCAGATAGTGGATTGAGATTTTTGTTGTGATAATTTTTTTTATAATTGATTGTTTCATTTTAGTTAATTGATTTAGTTAATGTATTAAATCTAAATTATTTGTTATAATTTATAATAGGTTCGAAGCTAATTTTTATTTTTAATAAAGTTTATCCCATAAAAATTAGCAATATAAATTCAATATGTGAAACTCTGTAATATTCATATAAAAATTAGCACAAGATAATATATTCAACCCCATTAAATCTAATTTTTTTTGGAATGGATCATGTTTATATTTTACAAAATATCAAAAATTAAATTAAATTAAATATAATTATAAAACCAAATCCAATCCAACTATATTTATAAACATATTTAAAAAAAATCAAGAAAAAACTGATATTTTTTTTTTATCCAGTCAATTTTCAATGTTTTGTATTGCTGTTTATCAAATAAATGTCCATATGATTTCTTGTATCTAATTCCTAGTGAATAAAGAACTATAAAAGGATAGAATGTCTTACATGTATCTAACAAATATAATCAATGTAATATTAAAAAAAAAACTATGGAAATTATTTTATATATATTGAAAAAATCACAGATTATTTAAAAAACCAAATAAATATTTTAATCTATAAATTCGAATATAAAATCCTATTGATGAATATCATAATCTTTTTTATACTCAAACATGTCAAATATTTTAATCGTTTTCGCCTCCCTCTTCCTAAAACACAAGATCTCTCTACATTCATCTCCTTTCGATGAATAAAAGCAAATTCCTGACCAAAACATTCACAATTTCCATATCTACAACGATTTGCCATAATGATTTTGTGCTCCTTGGCATTAGTTTTCTCTTTTCTATTATCTATCTATTTATTTATTTTTTAGATTTCAGCTTGACTTTAGCTCTACTCGAGACTGAATTTTGGACTTTTGGCATTTTATTTCCAATCCCAGCATGGGAACTGTGGATTTGTCTCTCACCAGATTTAATTTCTGAAAATAGTTAATTTTGTTTCCAACTTTAGTTTTCTTACTTATTCTAGAATTTTTTTTCCTATTCAATTAAAGAAACATGTTTATGCAATATGAGTTTTTAAAAAGTTTTAAAAGGGTCTTATTTGATTTAAATTGAAAAATAATAAAAGAAATGACCATAAATAATTGATGGACAAACAATACCCTTATATTTTTTTATAGTAGAAAACTTGGAGAACAACATTTTTAATCTTTTGATAATTGATAAATAAGTAATTTTCATTTTCAAATAGTAAAAATTAGTTATGGACCCATGGTCTACTGGCTCAATTGTTTTTCGTAAAAAAAAATAATATTTAGATGTTGCAAAGTATTTGAAAAAAGAGATAAAAATCTATGACTCGGGTTATAAACCCGACTTGGTCAAATATATTGTTTTATTTTGATTAGATGATAAAAAAAATAAACAATAATAGTAAATGAACTAAATTTAAAAAAAATATATAATCAGAGTATCCTATTGAAAAAAAGTATTTTTTTTCAAAAGAGAATGAATGATGTAACTTAATACTGAGCTCATTAAATATGAAATAATAAAATTGAGTAAAAAAATAACCTAAAAAATCAGCCCGAGTCAACCCAAGTTGGTATGACAAATATGTAACCCTAGTAATTAAGGTCGAGCCAACCCAAATTTTCTCACAAAGCCCGTAACCCAGGTCATGAGATCGAGATAACCCGATAAAAAAAAACAATGAAACCATAAAGCCCTTTTTTTTTAAGAAAAAAAAAGTCAAATCACGTTAATTTTCAAACTCATTACCCGAGTTATTAGGTCGAAAGCATCCTATCTGGAAAAACCAAGAGACCCAATTCACAATCAATCAAATATCAAAAGGTAAAATTGAAAAAAAAATCAATTATACAAAAGGATTCAAAGCAAAAAATAGAAATTAAAAGAATAAGGATCACGATTGAAGTACAAATCAATTTTATCTTTGATTGAAGGGTAAAATTAAAAAAAAAATCAATTTAACAAATGGACCAAAAACAAAAATAAAAACAAAAAAATCAAAATAATGATGATCAAAATTGATATAAGAAATACAAACAAATTTTTTATTTAATGGTGAAATTAAAAAGAAAAATGAATTCAACAAAAAATTAAAAAATATCAAAAGAATGAAAATCAAATTAAATATATATATATATATATGATATTTGAGATTAAAAAATAAAATTAAAAATAAATAAAACTTCTATAAAAACATCAAGAACAAAAATATTAGATGCTTCTAGTTGCTAAGGATTGGAATGAAAAACAAACCTACTTTAGGATAGCTATCAATTCAAGTAGAAACCAAGTGATACCGAGTTGGCATGCTCTTGATGTTGATATAGAAATCAAAGGAATAAGAATTGAAATTAAAATATTAACAACAAAGACGACTAAGATATAATTTTTTTGAGGATGAGAGAAAAAAAAAGAAAAAAAAGAAAGGTTAAACAATAACAAACTACACTAACACCATCACCACCATCACGCATCGCATCAACAAGAAAAGAATACGGTAGCACTTTCAACGATACCGTGAAATAGTATTTTTGGCTACTTGAAGGTTCACATGCTTCTTAAAGTGTGCAAACACTCTCACGCATCGACGCTTAGGCCACATATAACAAAAAAAATTATATAATTTGACTATATATAGTCAAATATCAAATTACTTCTTAGTTGACCGGATGATAATAAAAAATAATTATAAAAAAACAAAAAATCTATATGACATCAATTTTAGAATTTTACTTGTAAGGAATTTTGATTGTTTCATTGAAAATTGTTTTATATATATTTTTTATATTTTATCAAATATCAAATTGTTTCTCGGCTCAATTGATAATAATGGAAAAATCATTTTGAAAATACAAAAAAGCTATTTGATATCAATTTTTTTTTTGCTTCTAATAATATTTTGATTGTTTCATTATATTTTTGAAATGAAAAAAATGTATTTTTTTTAATTTAGTAATGATTAATGAATTTTGTGAAAAGACTTTAATATCCCCAATAGCTAATGTTAATTTTTTTAATTATAAGGGTAAAATCATGAAAATACTATTCTCGTGACATGATAGTGTTTTGTAAAGATCATTTATCTTTTGTTAATGTTATCTTCATTATTCTATTTGTTTCTGATTTTATTTCCAGAATTTTTGAAAACATTTCCTTAAATAAGCACGACAATGTTGGGAAAAATGCATTTTTTATCAATTCGTGTTTTAATAAAAAGGCAATTTACAATTAAGAAAAACTCATGTTAGTTGTCTGTTCTTGTCAGTATTGATTACCCTAAACACTTTAGAGTGTTAGGAAACGTGGCTAACATGTGATTTTAAAAATTTAATATTTTTTAGTTTAAAATTAAGATTTTTTTTATATGTTTTGAATTGTTTTGTCAATATTTTTTAGTTTAAAATTAAGATTTTCTTATATGTTTTGAATTGTTTTGATGTATTA